TTATTAAGAAAAAATTATTTTAATATTTATTTTTTCATTTATAAGAGTTAAATTTAAGATTTTATTTAAAAAAATTAAAAAATTTTCATTTAAACTAATAAGTAATTAATTATAATAATAATATTATCAAAATAATAGTAATACCGAACAGAAACAGCACCCTCAAAAAAAAAAACAAAAAAATTTAGATCTCCTTTTTTTCTCCCTCTCCTTTTAAACATGATCCGTAAGAAGTTTGATTTCTATGTTGAATTGGGAAAACCCTTTCAACAGTTGATTGGTTTTTTTTCAATGAAAATTATATTACAAGTTAGTCGGTAAAGTAAGGCTTGTTAGAATGAGGAATAGTTTTTACGTTAATTGGATCATTTCTTGAATTTAAAATATAGGTAGCACTTAGTTTTCTAACTTTTGTACTATCTAAGACAAATTCTTAAATTTTGTATTGTTTATAAAAGAGAAATCGTAAAGTGTTTTGAATTATACAATAAGTATTTTTAAGTAAGAGATAAATTTATTGATATTAAAATTGTTTTACTCTAAGGTTTTTGTTTTATATTCTAGTGCTGAATAACAAAATAAAATACCTTATATAATAAACAAAATTTTATTATATTATTATTATGTAAAAATGAAAATTATGTTCTAAGTTGAATTACAATATTTTGACTCTCAAATAAGACTCTTTTAAAGTTTCACTTGTGAAAGAACTTAAATTTTGCAATCTCGTACAAATTGCCCATAAAAATTACCTTTGTTTAAATATCTGAAAAGTGCGTATGAGACGGACACGCTATTTTTGAACTAAAAAAATCATATGTTTACAAATAAGAGTATATACAGTAAATTAATGTACTTATCCACTAGATCCCCTTTATAGCTACTTTGAAGTTTCGGAGAAACACAGCAGGGTGGGGTATGCGACCTGAATCCGGACACCCAAGTAGACTGATAGTTTGGATCGAAGAAAGAATAGTTACTAGGTAATTACTTCCCTCGCTGAGATTCACTTACCATTTTCAAGTGTGCAATGTGGGTTGAATTCAGATTAATCGAGACGAAACCTTAGATATCGAACAAAAAACTAAAAAAAATTAGGTAACTACTTCCCTAACTGAGATTCACCTATCATTTTTAGGTGTGTAATACGGGTTGAATTCAAATTAATCGAGACGAAACTTTAAATATGGTACAAAAAACCAAAAAAAACTAGGTAACTACTTCCTCAAAGTAAGTGTAACACTCCAAATCTCGAATTAGTAGAGAATTTTAAGTGATTCCAATCTTGAAGATTTATAATTTTAATTTAAAAAATTATTTAATTATGAATTATTTAAATAATTTAGTAATTTTTTTTTTGAAAATAAGATATTTTAAATTTAAATAACATAATATATAAATAAAATGAGATAAAAATAAAAAAATAATTATTTTTCATTATATAACGTAAATAAAAAAAATTATTTCATCAGCAATGAGTTTTAATTTAAATTATTTCAACAAATTTTAACTTAAAAAATTATTAAATATTAATAATAAGTTTCGACTCTATCCATTTAATAGAAGTTTCCATTACAACATTGACTTGTAACAACGTAAAGCATTGAGGCATCGAACCCGATTGAATGAGACAAGAATGGCCATGATGCAATCCACTTTGGCGTGATTTATTTCTCTTCTTCCTTGAGGCAAAATCGTACAGGGAGACCTCCCAATTTATTGTGTTTTTGAAGCAAGCAATTCGACGATAAGATCAAACCATAGAGTCTGACAGGTATCACTGGAGGCGGTACGTTTTAAATAGAATCCAATCGGAGACTAAGTCTATGCTCGGAGTGGAGAGAATCCAATAGAAAATGACCCTCCCTTGATTAGCATAGTAGCATTGGTCGTGAGCTTTTTTTCAATAACTTCGTGTTGTGGGCGGAGACTACGTTTTTATTTTAACTTTTACACTTGGTGTTGTCGGCGGAGACTACTTTTTTTTTCTAACAAGTGATAATAATAATAAATTGTATAAAAATAAATAACTATTTTATATAATTTAGTGTTTAAATGTGAGATATTAAAATTTAATCTTTTTTTACTTAGATTGTTAAAGTGTTACCTCTTTTTGGGTTAATTATCTGTGTATTGTAAAATTAATTCATTTTTTAATTCGAAAATGGTATAATATTGTAAATGTATAATTATTATATGCTATTTATATACTTTGTATGATCGGATTTAATTGTTTAATTGTATTTATTTATAATTATCAAAAAATTTATTTATTATATAATTATAACTTATTTTTGCATTTTCTCTCTTACTTATAATTAAGTGAAAATTTTCAACATATATCTATATTTTTTGAAATAAAAGCAAAATTAAAATATTAACATTTTAATATATTATTAAAATAGAAAGTAGATAACTAAATTAGACCACATTTTTTTAGAAAAATAATACAACTAAATCTAATTGAAAGGAGTATAATTAACTTTTTCTCATTTAAAAATTTACATATAATATTATATGAATTCACATATTTAATAATATCTCATAATTGTCAACAATTTATATAATTCAATAGTCATCTCTTTCTGTTGAAAATAAGAAATTCTAAATTCGAATCACATGACATACGGATGTGGTGGGAGAAAGGAAGAAAAAAGAATAACTTTCAATGAGCAAACAAAAATAAAAAAAAAAAATCTCATGATTATAAATTTATAAATTTATATCATTTTACAACTATATTATTGTCATTTCTAATGATATTGGAACGCATGCTAGGGCATTTGACAAAATTTGATTTAATTGAGTTGAAAACCAAAGACTTGAATATATGAGATCATTCTCTCCTATCTGATCAAGAAAAAGAAAAAAGGATCAGTCTGAATATATCATGTAAAAAGGGGGAAAAAATCGATTTCTCAATTGAGAATCAAAATTCTCCATAGTTTCTCTTGCATTTTCTCAATTGGTTGTGATTCACATATCCTTACCTTAACATCCGTTGGTAGTTTCCTTTTATGAGTATGGGCAATAAAACTTTTACTATAAAAAATGATAAATCTTTTGGATAATTTTTTTTAAAAAAGGAGCTAAAATTAACTAAAATTATCTAACAATGATAGTATAACTCTGGGGGATTTCATGTGAAGTGGCAAACAGAAATTTGAAATTCAGATGTAAAACAATTATAATCCCAAAATGAATTTCTTATTTCTCATTTCTTATTTACTATTATTTGAGGCAAAAAATAAGTATTTTTTATTTGTTTTTTCTCACAATTATATAAAATAAAAGAGTCCTATATAATTTAGAGGGTAAAAATAAAAACATTGAATGAAGACAAAGTTTTGATATAAAAAATTATTTTTTTTATTTTATAATTTAATATTATTTAGAGAATAAAATAAAAAAATTTTAGAAAAGTAAGAAATACTAATACAGCTGGTGGGGTACCAATATCCCCCAATTAAAGCAAAAACGTGTTGAATTAAAATTCTGAGTTGGTACAAATAAATACTCAACTAAAAAACAAATCCAATGCCCATTTTTCTCGCTCTTTCCCAACTCCAAATTCCCCAATTTAAAATTTCGAAATAGCAAAGACGCCAGTAAATTCAATCGATTCTCCTGAAGAAGATGGTGTATGGTGAAAACACAGCCGCCGCAGCCGCCGCCACCTCTCCCACCAAATCCAGGCTTAGGGGCTCACTTCCTCCGCCTTCAGCTGTTCCCTTCAGCCCTTTCTGGTCTCGGTCCGAGGACAAGCTCTTTGAGGAGGCGCTAGTTGATTTTCCGGAAGGATATCCCGGTCGGTGGCAGAAGATAGCCGAAAGAGTTCCTGGGAGATCGCCGGAAGACGTAGAAAATCATTACCTGAAGTTGGTTCGCGATGTAAGTGATATTGAGTCGGGTCTGATTGATGTTCCGGATTATGCTGACGATGACGACTGGGCTATCCTCTCGAATCCAGATTCCGGACATCAATTCCCCTTATCTAAGTCCAGGAACGCTGAAACTGAACGGAAAAAGGGTACTCCATGGACGGCAGAAGAACACAAGTACGTTAATTTTGTGCTATTGAGTTTTTTTGCAAATTTCGTTAAAATTCTTCATTTTTCAATTTCAGATTTGATTTGTATTTTTAAAAAATTTTCTTGATTTCTTGACATGGATAATGGTATTTTTTCTTCGTCATTTATGATTTCTACACACTAAAATAGATCTGTTTTTCATCTATAATTAATTCCTGCTTTTGTTATGCCATAACTAATTTCTGTTGACCTTCTGTTATTTTCCCCAACAAGATTCAGTTTTTTGTTATATTCTTTATTCAAGAATCAATATAATAATAATAATAATAATCCAATATTGGTTAGATGCATCAGCCCACCAAATTCTTACTGAATTATGATGGAACTGTGTTGTGGGTAACTCTGGTTTTGTGATTATTGGAACAAGTAGGCATCTTTTGATCGTACAATTGAGGTAATTGTAGGGACAATTTTGAATGTTTTGATTGTATATTTAGGTAATGGTGTTTTCTCCATTGCTTGGTTACAGGTTGTTCTTATATGGGCTGCAGAAATATGGGAAGGGTGATTGGAGAAGTATCTCAAGAAATGTAGTGCAGACGCGAACGCCTACTCAAGTTGCCAGCCATGCCCAGAAATTCTTTCTCCGCCAGCAATCTGGCAAGAAAGAGAGGAAAAGATCCAGCATCCATGACATTACCATGGTGGACCCCAACACGGTGAGTGTGCAGGTGCCCGCTGAGCAAGTTTGGGTTCCAGCACAACCTGAAATGCAACAGTTGCCCCCTGTGAGCCATTTGCCAAGTCAAGGAGGTCACTTGGAGTTCGACTATGGGTATGAAAACTACGGTGCTGGTGATCATCAAAACCACAACTTTCATATGTAAAGGAGGATGAGAAGCTGCATACTGTGTACATATGAGATTGAGCTTCTCATAGTCAAGACAGATTTAAAATTTTTTTTTTCTAGGATCCAAGTGTTATGTCCATATGAATTTGAAGTGTTTGATCATGAAATACAGTTGGTGGCACAGATGCATGTATTTGTGAAACCAAAGAGATGAATTTGTGGAGGGGAGTTAACCATTAGTTGTTTTTTAGGTGGAGTAGATTTCGAGCTATAGCATTTGAAATTTGAACATACTGCTGTAGTTTAGGTTTATTACTACCTTTTTGTTATCAGTATCAGCTGACAGTTTCTTTTGTTGACTGATAATTAAGTTTGAAATGTGGTTTATAAATAAGGAATAATCCCAACTACTGTACATTACTAGACAACTATGATAGTTGACATTTTAGACTTTTATATATCAACATGACACCTCTATTGGTTGAGAAACTTGTGACTGGATATCAGGTTGTAGGCAAGCACGAGATTATGTGTAATATAATTTAGAAATTTATAGGTACCATGTTAAATGTTCCCAGGTGACACTTTATTCCGCAAACAAAATGAAAAACCACAATGCGTTTTAATGTAAAGCTTCATCTCGGGCCTTGTGCGAGGTACGCCCCGCTTTGATTTTCTGAATCGTGGCAACATCAGTCTTGAAAGACTTGGCCAAGATGGCGTCAACAATCCCAGTGGCGAACACAGAAGCCGGTACTGACACGGTTCCAGTGCTGGCACTGCTGAAGGCAGAGACAGCGATGGCGAAGTCTTTGTCATTGCTGTTAAACAGATAGTGAACTAGTCCCTTGGGGAACACGGACATGTCCCCTGCTTGTAGCGTCTGAGTGTAGAGCTTGTTAGTCGTGTCGACAAGACCGACATCTAGGACGCCGTGGAAAAGAAAGAGAAGCTCTGCCGCACGAGGGTGGGTGTGGGGAGGGTTCACGGAGCCGGCGGCGTACTGCAAAACAGCAAAAGAGACGCTCTGGCCATTGGGAGCGGGGAACTTTGCCAATCTGCCATGCTTGCTTTGCTGACAGTGAAATTTGACGGTGGTTGGTCTTCACTGAGAGCAGTTCTCATTCCGGTGAAGGTGAAGAACTGGCCAGTGACATTTGGTGGGGCCAGAAAATCGGAGATGATAAATGGGTCACCAGATATTGCACTTTGGAAACAAGCAAAGGAAATTACCTGACATTGTTCAGGGCCATGGTGCTATGAAATTTGAGAGAAAAGAAGAATGTAATTGAGAGATTAGTTGATGCTGCTATGGTTTTAGGCTTCAGGAAATGCTGTATTTATAGTTTAATGTGCATGCCTTGTAGGTTCATTGATATCATCAATTTGGGCAGGCCTTTGAGGGTCCAAAAACATATCCCAAGTCAATGAAGAACATTATTTTTGTTTATGATAACTCCGTTGAATAATTGATTGTGTTCTTTATTTTCTTTGTTTTGGTTGATGTGTGGATTTGGGAGTAACATTGTAACCTTTCCTTTCCCTTAAAAGCTCATCTTTGTTGGGGAAGGCAAGATGCTAACCGTTTGAAAGACTTAACAAACTCTAATGATTTACATTTTCTGTTGATTGCGAATTTAAATAACAGAGGTAGTTTTTTTATATACTTTCTTAAGTATTCTTTGTATGTGTTTATTTTAAACTTGAAATTTTATTTAAATTTAATTTATATGACTAATGTTCAGACTTCAAGGTTGCAACATGTTGGGAAGATTGCGGTGTCACTAGGGATGACAATTTCCTTCGCGTCCCGTGGAGTTTTGCAAATTTCTCCGTCATGAGGATGGAGATTTCAAAAATATTCCTCCTCGTAAAGCAAAGATGGAGGCTTTTTTTTTGTGAAATTTCCTGGCAAAATTTCTTTTGCCCTGTGGGGAATCGTAGAAGTCTATATAAAATAAATAAATAAATAAATTTATTTATATATATTTTAAATATATTAACAATTAATTTTTACTTACTCAACCTAATTAATTGACCAATCTTTTTTTTTTTTTTCAGTTTTTCCAAACCCAATTATATAGTCCAGTCCAGTTCAGCCCATAATACACTTAAACTTAATTGTCCAAACCCAACTTAATTTGCATTATCTTCTTAAACTTAATTGCCCAAACCCAACCCAATTTGTTAGTGACCTTATAGTCTATTTTGAATTTCTAAGATTTGCGAATCTACTTTGTGATTCCTTCTCTTTAGACTCCAATCTCTTCCCCTCTGCGCTATAGCTCACTGGCTTTGTTTCTGTTATTCAATCGGTCAATTCCCTTCAGCCTATCATTCTTAGCAACCTTCGAAAGGTAGTGCACATAGCTCTGTTTCTATTATTCAGTCAGTTACTTGCAGTTTGCTTGAGCCTGAGTTGTGAATATTTGTGAGTATCTAAGTATCTGTGTATCTGTGCTTGATGATTTATTTTGAGGTGAAGCAGATCTCATTCTTTTGGCCTTATTATTTTTTATTTCATTTTCTCTTTGATTATTCGCAAGATTGTCAAAATGTGATTTTTATTATTTACATGCTTGGGCAACTTCTTTCTCACATTCGCCCCGAATGATAATTGTATTGTTATTTTGAGACTTATTTAAACTCTTAATTCATTCTATCTTTAGTTAGTTTCTTAAATGAAAAACGAATATTAAGTTTTAATTGGTGGAGACTTCGAATACTTGCGGGAACCTATTATTTCCCATGGCAACCTATTATTCCCTACGGGTATAGGGACGGAGGTTATTTTTTATTCTCCGTCAAAAATTCTCATGGAGATCCTCGTACCCATCATTGACAAGATGGGGATGGAGAGGGGTCCCTACCCCCTAGGGACTAGTTGTCATCCCTAAGTGCCAGCTGAGCATTGTAGAAATAAAAGCAACACCAAAATTTTTTCAAATCTATTTCAAATTGTTAGGAACAAACTAAATTGAATCCAAATAAATTATGACAACAACTGAAAAATATGCAAAACAGTAAAAATAGTTAAAGCAAATTATAAGAGATAATATTTTTAAGTGGAAAACCCCAAAAGTAGGGAAAACCATGGGACATCCGGTCTTTCTTCTTTTTTTTTTGGTAAATAAAATAACTCTACTATGATAAAAGTGAAAACACAATATCCTCTTTTAAAAGGATATAAAAACAATACCAAATAAAAAGAACAACAGGCCACTAACCCACAAAGAGAAAAGGGACCACAAAGAGAGACAGTCACCAAAACACGAGTTACTGTTTAAGAACAAAAACTGGACTTACAGAACTCCAAACAAAAAACTGACCGTTCAGATTATAAATCAAAGTCTTGTGAAACCCCAGACTAAATTTCAGCTCAATCCAACGGTGAACTTTGTGGATTGAACAAAGTTGCAAAACTGTGCACTGTACCAAATCTCCAGAATTCTCCCCTGCTTTCTTTCCCTTTCTGCCGGCTGATCCACTCACGTGTTCTGCACTTTCTGCTGTCCAAATCAGATCTCTCTCTTTGTATTAAAGGGCTGCAAAATGTGGCTTCAAGTTGGCTTAACAAGTGTGGGCTTAGTCTACAAATATTGGGCATTTCTCCAGAAAGGCCTAACCCAACAAAACATTTAGAATATCTCTTAAGAAACAACATGGAATGTGTGGAATTTGTAAGAATGTGGTGAAATTTGATTACTACTTCAATTTCTGCCTTAAAAAATGGAAGGAAGAAAGGGAAAGGGGTACCCATAGACCATAATAGCCAAAATGATAGTCTACATAGTTTTCATTTGCACTCCAAACCTGAAGCCAAAACGATAATCTCCATAGTTTTTCATTTGGTTTCCAACTTGAAAAATGGGGTTGCTCTGTTTCTGCTGTTGTTAGTAAAACAAAGTCAACGAGGATCTGTTGTGACTTCATTTTGTGAAGAGTTGGTTATTAAATTGGAAAATAGGAACTTTTGGAGAGGAGGATCTGTTTCTAACTTTCTATCAAGGATTCGTCTTTGATTCGTCGGTGTATTATGTGTAATTTGATATGATTTAAATTATATAATAATTTATTTATTTATTTAATAGATTACAAATTAAAAATGAGAGAAATCAAGTTCAATTTAAAAGATTTGAGATGTATTTATCATCAATAATAAATTTATTAAACTAAGAAGGCCAAGTGCACAAAACAATTTATTGTTTTGTGAATAGCTATGATAATTTCTTTTATTCAAAAGAAAAACGTTCTCAAATTGGGTAAGTTTAAAATCATTAATTTAAAGTGAAAGAAATTATAATTGAAAATTAACCATATAATATATATAATCCATATTGCATTGCATCATTTTTTATCACACCTTCGTTGAGGCATGATCACTTCGGAAAGCATAAACAAATTTAAGACACACACACAAATTATCCCCCCCTTTTTTTTTAATTTTGGTACTTTTTAAAGGTGAGGGACAATTTTGGTACCAAAGTGACAAGTTGAGGGACCAAAATGGTACTTAAACCTTTTTTTTTTTGCCATCACACATAACTTATTCAAATTTCAAATAATAAAAACAAAACACCCAATAGAGAAGAATGCAATTATGCAAGTTTGTCAGGCCTTTGGTGGTTTGAGCCCTGCCTCAATTTTTCCAGTGGTGGCAGCATCAGTCTTGAAAGCTTGCTCATATGTTTTCGTAAATGCCCGTTGCGAACACACATACCGGTACCGATACAGTCCCTGCGCTGGCGCTACCGAACGTCGACACAGCAATGGCGTAGTCTTTCTCATCGCAGTTGAACTGATAGTGAACCAGTCCCTTGGGGAACACTAAAATATCCCCTGTTTGAAGCCTCTGAGTATAGAGTTTGTTCGTGGTGTCGGCGAACCCGACTTCCAGAACACCGTAGACGAGGAAGAGAAGCTCTGCCGCACGAGGGTGGGTGTGAGGACTGAGGAGGGTTTACTGAGTCGGCAGGGTTCTGCGAAAGGGCATAAGAGACACTCTGTCCGTTTAAAGCAGGGAATTCTGCCATGCTTATTTTGTTGACTGTGAAATTTGTAGGTGGTGCAAAATTATTGAGAATAGACCCGTAGGGCAGAAAAGGTGAAGAAGCTGCCATTTACGGTCCTATTTGGGGGGAGCCAGAAAATCAGAGCATTATATCTGGGTCAGCAGAGATTGCTCTCTGGAAGCAGGCAAAGGTGATTACTACTAGTGTAAAGATGAGAGCTTTCATGGCAGTTCTGTTCTTTGAAATGCAAGAAAGTGTGGTGCTGTGGATTCAGGTGAAGGTGAGGTTGTATTTATACTGAATTTGGAGAAATTTTGCAAGAGATGGTTCTTTGGTATCTACGGTGGGATGGCACATGACAGCTGACCAAAAAGAATTGAAATGTATCGCACGACAGCTCACCAAGAGATGGATCTTTGGTATCAACCTTATCCAAAATAAAATTTGAAAACGGATTATTAAATCTGTAAAGGTTGGTTGGACAGAAAGTAATATTCGTGTGCTCCAGTTCTGGTTCTTTTCTTCTTCTTTTTTTTTTTTTGGTACATTTCTGGTTCTTTTCTTCGTTGAGAAAGATGTTGGACAAATAAGCTATCAGGCAGTTAGAGAAAAAGGAAAATGGAACGTATTTATAGTTAAAATGTCAGAATATTTAATTATAATTATTAAATACATAAAATATAATTAACTCTAACTTTATTAAATTTATTTATAATTATCATTAGATATCTTAATTTTATTTTCCTTTTTAGTTTTTCCAATTAAAACAGCTTGTGAAAATATTTAAATACCATTTTTGGTTCTAATACTGTTCAAAGATAGGCCATGAGATTGTGAATTTTATGAGGTACGATAGCCATTTTGCAAGTAAATTAATATTCTTCACATATTCGAGGATATTTCTTTAGATATTTGATTTCTTAGGAACTTCAGAATAGTTGAGCCGGACTTGCCGACTGTCTATAACTCCCCATGTCATTATGGTATCCTCAACCGTTCAAGAAAGAAGAATATACAATGGAGTTCGATACCGCCCCATACCATCAGGTTCTTAAATCGCACCTGAATCCAGGGTATGTATGGTGTATAAAGTATAAACTATAAAGCGTTAAGTTTGAAAGCAATTACCGTTACAAGTGGCAGACTAAAGTGGAGGATGAAACGCATATCAGGGCAGCAGAATTGGCACATACAGTGGGATTAGGGCAAGTCCACATCTGAACTGGCTATCGTCTCGTCTAACATAAAAATGAGCTTACAGCGATAGAATTATAGAACCAATCAAATGAAGATTAGAAACATTTCAAGGTCAGAAAACACTGGTTTTAATGTATTATTAAGAACCACACACACAACAAGACTGTCTCAACTGTCGTGAGCAGCCACAACTATTTACAAGAATTAAGTCTCCTTAACACTAAAGTCACAAGTCTCAGCATTTATTTCTCATCACTTCTCTCTCTTTTTTCTTTTTGCCATCCTCATCATTTATCTCGAGAACTGGTTATCATAATGTAGGAAAGAAGCCAGATCATGTTCAACCCTTATGGGTCCCTTCAGTGCTCTGCAGAAAGGTTAAAAAAAAGGCAATCGTGTTAAAATGGGGCTAAAACAAAATAGGAAACAAGAATAAAACAGCATATATAGCAAATGAGGCAGGGTATAACCAAAATTTATTGCCGTTTGCTAATGTAGGGAAACTTCATCATCAGATATTTCAAGCCTAAAAAGAGACACATAGGAATATAGCATAGACTCAATGTACAACTCTTTAAAGTTTAAACCAATTAATGTTAGGATTAGGAGTTCAGTCAAAGGACCCAATCACATAATTTGTTTAAATCTCAACTCTTTCCACAAACCTTGGACTCAAAAAAAAAAAAAATTTTTTTCCCATACTTGGACATGATAAACTAATTACAAGGGCAAATGTAAATCATAATACAGAAAAGTTACCATGCTATAAGTTGAGGAAAACTTAATGCTGCCAGAAAGCAAGAGGTCAAAATTCACATCAACTCCCACATATATCTCTTCAACTAGCATTTAAAAATTCAGAGAGTTGGGAAATTCTTGAGACAACAAACAAAACAATTGAGAATACCTCAACTAGTGTGAGATAGCAAACCACTAAAAGAGTATACGTCGAGATTAGTTACCTTCTCAGCACCCTCTTTCTCTTTCTGCAGCTTTTCTTTCTCAGCTTGCTTCTTCTGCTTCTCAAGCCTCTCTCTCTCCATTTTCTTCATACAAAAAAAATCAACTTCATCATAAAGAATTCATAAACAGGAAAAGCAAACAAACTATTTGCAATATACAGAGCAAAGAATTTTGTTTGGCCGTTGATATGGTGTAGAAGAAATGGTAGTGAGAAAGAAAGAATAAGGAAATAAAGATCACTACATCCAAATTGTTTCCTAGAGCAAAATACAACACAAATACGTCTCTTCTCACTACCACAGTTTATTTCTGTTTTAGGTACCATACAACCCAAAATTTTATAAGAACTCAAGGTATAATTTCTCATTTTTACATATTCTTAGCAATCAATATAAAAGGCCAGTATTACAGTAAGAACCTCTTTAAGAGAGGAGTGTGTTCTAGCTTCCAGCATCTCAACACTTACATGAAAAGCCCATATCACCACATTTTCAAGCATTTCATTTTCAGCAATCGAACAACAAGAGCTTCAAAAATATAGAAAATCCAGTCCAGTTAAACAATTGAAACAACTGCTAGTATACCAATAAGAATGAAAGAAACTAACTTTATTATGGCTATCACCACATTTTAAGTATATAAAAGCACGAAACAAAGATTGAAACACCCAAACATTTAATTTCATTTCTTTTCCTGGAAGATTTTTTTTTTTTTTTTTCTGGGTGGACAATAACTCAACCTCCATAGCAAGAAACTGTAGACATTAAAAAAGAAAAGGAAACGGAGTGATCGAAATCCAAATCACAGTGCTCAGTGACTTTAAGCTTCATCCAACAGAAAATCACAAACCTGAATATAGACGGCCTCCTTAGCACGCTCTTCTTCGCTCAGGACTCGACCCTTGCTGTCGGAGAAGTACCGAATCGCTCCTCGACCTGACTCCCTCATCGATCCACTCCTCCTCGCAGTAACGACTCGGCTCGCTGCAGCTATCATCGACATTTTTGGTGTCTTTGATTTCAGCCTTCTTCTTGCTGCTTGAAATTCCAGAAACTGACAGTGACGCCCAGAAACTCCGTTTTATATTCGGAGCCAGCTAATCGGGCTCGAGTACCGGGTTCAGGCTCCGAATGGATTTTTCTAGTTTTAATATTAGAAAACTGGATAAGAATTCCCGTGGGCATTGTCGGTGACCGGTAGGGCCCGTGGGCCCTTACGAGGCTAGATCTCTACTAATCAAAATGTTGGGCCCGAACCGCAGATTAGACACAATAGATTTGGGCTGACTATATACTTACTGGATTATGAATTCAGCCCGAAGAGTATTATTACGTCATATATAAATTTTATTTAGTAAAATTATTGTATTTGGATTCTTCTATTTTTTTAGTAACGGAAAGACGTCCTATTCGACTCTACTTCTGAGAAATTTCTTGAGTCCTCAACCTGGTGGAATACTAAATTAAGAGCATTGAAATAATTTTCTTATATATTTTTTAAATTTGGGGGTAATATACTTGGAAATTGAATTATGAATTTATATGATGTACTAGGTTGATTTATTAATAAATTTATAATTATGCAAATGACATTGTTAATTCAGTGACAAAAATTAAAATTTCACAAATTTAAAGTTATGAATGAAATTGATTTTCATATATGACAGGGTTTTTTTTATATATATCATATTTGGGACTTGGTAGTTGGTATTCTACTTTCAGTAAAAAATATTAAATTTATGATTATTTATAAAAGAAAGCTTAGGTATTAAAATTAAAAAATTTAATGCCGTTAAAAATTCCTCGTCCTTATAAAATGAATCATTATCATCCTTCCCAACCGTAATTCCTCCTGTCATAAGATGTAAATCCACCCGCTAAAATCCTCCAAATTTAATGGTAAAATAACATACTTTGATCCCTTAACTTCAGTTCTTGTCACGTTGATCCTCAAAATTCAAATTTATTCAATTTAATCCCTAAACTCAACTTTTTTTATTTCAATTTAGTTCTCAAACTTTTGAAACACATGCACTTAAATCTCATTTTTCTAATTTCATGCATTTCAGTCTTTTTTCACAAATAACAAAAATTATGTAACTTTCAATAAAATCACATTTAAATATTTAATTCATTCAAATATTAATAAAATCAAACATTAAATGGTAAATTAAAACATATAGAATTATATAATCAAACATAAAATCAAGTCTTTAATATCCACTTATTTCAAAATTATCTTTGATACTCAATTTGAAATCATATGAAATGATACAATTAAAGCAATCAAACTATAAAAGATATAAGTATGATATGTGAATGTGGTGTAAATGTAGTTGTGTAAATGTGAAAATAAGCTCGAAGGGGGGTTGGGTATTAAAAATCTGTCATGTTTTAATATGTCATTACTAGGAAAATGGTGGGGAAGACTGCTTACAGAGAAAGGGGGTTTATGGAGAAGAGTTTTACTTGAAAAATATGGGAATAAAGAAGGGAATTGGCTATCCTACTTAAAGGAGGGTAGATTTCGAGGTTCAAGTTGGTGGAGGGATGTTCGCAAAATAGATGAAAGGGTGGGGATTAAGAATAATTGGTTGAGCTCAGGATTTGAAGTGAAAATAGGGGATGGCAGAAACACAAAATTCTGGTCGGATGAATGGGTAGGAGGGAGTGCACTATCTAACAAATTCCCACGCTTGTTTCTGTTATCCACAAGTGAAAATTACAATGTGAAAGACATGGATACTTGGACAAATGGAAGCTGGCAATGGAAATTATTATGGAAGCATCAATTGCGTTCATGGGAGGAAGACTTGGAAACAGAACTTCTGGAGATACTCAAGACAACTCACCCAATACAGGACAAAGAAGACCAATGGTGGTGGCAACCGGAACCCTCAGGAAACTACACATCCAAGTCAGCCTACTCTCATTTCCTAAAGGGCAACACCAGGGCTATAGCTGACTTTAAAAGCATGTGGAAGGCCTCCATTCCACCTAAAGTAAGTGCTTTTTGTTGGCAATTACTTCACAAGAAACTCCCTACAAAAGATAATTTAGCAACTGTGGAATCTTAACTGATCATAACAACCTAAGATGTTGCTGGTGTAATTCATCAACTGAAACACCCGACCACTTGCTTGTTAATTGTAACCTGGCTTCCAGCTTATGGATGAAATGCTACAAGTGGTGGGGCAAGCAATATGTATTAGGTAATTCATGCATGATGGTTTTGGAACAACACAAGTGGAATGGGGGCCCAAAATCACTAGATAAAGGGTGGAACATCATTTGGTTTGCGGTAGTATGGACACTCTGGCTGGGTAGGAATGACAGGATTTTCAATGCCAAGGAAGCAAAGGCTGATTATTTTTTTGAGCTAGTTCAAACTCGATCTTTTTACTAGGCAAAAAATATTGCAGGTTTGGATGGATTCTCTTTAACAAATTGGTGCGAGAATCCAATCAAATGTTTAAAGATCAAAGTCAAAGAGAAAGATAGAGTATGAACTGGACTTTTCTGGGACTTTATGTTTGTGCTGCCCTTTTACAGAAGTCGGTGAAAAAGAAAATCTTTGTAATATGCTGTTTTTGTAAGCAAAGGGTTGGAATACCCCCTATATTCCATAATTAATAAATGCTTTTGCCTTTCAAAAAAAAAAAATTATGAACTAATAATAACTTCGGGTGATGTTTGCATGACTATGGGTATATAACAATAAAAAAAAAAGCATCTTTTATTTACCTTTTTTTTATTATAATGTTTTTTTTTCCTCTAATGTGAGTTATGTGTATGTAGGCAACTAAATACCCTTTCTTTATTTTTAGGGATCTCAAATTTGATATTAAAAATATGATTTTTCACTTTGATTAGATGAATTTTACACATAGTTTTATTATATTTGTTGTAATATTTTACAAGATTTCAAATAGAATATTAAAGATAATTTTGAGACAAATGTATATTAAAAACTTAATTTTACACTTTGATTATATAACTTTATATGATTTAGTTTACCATTCAATACTTGATTTTATTAATATTTAAACAACTTGAATACTTAAACATGATTTTATTAAAAGTTATATAATTTTTATTATTTGTGCAAAAAACTGAAATGCATGAAATTAGAAATTTTGAGATTTAAGTGCATGTCTTTCACAAGTTTGGGAACTAAATTGTAATAAAAAAAAGTTGACATTAGGGATTAAATGGAATAAATTTGGATTTTGACTTTTTGAGGCACAAGAACTAAAGTTAAGAGGTTAACTACGTTATTTTACCATTAAAATTTGAGGATTTTAACAGGGTGTTATAGCATCCGTCAACGTAGGGATTACGGTACGGTTGGCCCTTTGTGTAAAGTTAAGGGATCATTATGAATTATTTTAAAGTAAAAGGATGAAAATGATTACTTTTGTAGAGTTGAAGGACTTTTAACGACATTAAGCCAAATTAAAATTATAGAATCTTTATAAAATTCTACTAAATATTCAGGGACATGGGGAGATTAGAAGAAAGGTGGAAGAAAAGAAAACTCTATGTTTCGTCTTTCCGCACAGAAACAAGAAAAGAAAGAAAATATTCTATATAATATACTGTATTTTTTAAAATCTCAAATCCAATTAATTTAATTGGAGATTCAAAAGGGCAAAAAAAAAAGGCTACCGATCGGCGATTGCGTGTTCATAAGAAAGGGGAGGCCTTTTTGTTTTGTTGTTTCGTTTGCTTTTATTTTTTTTTCTTCTTCAAGGAGGAGATTTCGGAAATTACGAATAATGGTGTCGGCGAATAAGGAGATGGCCGTCTACTGCTTCGACACTCTGCTCGCTCACTACAACGGCGAGGAGGCTCCGCCTCCGGCCTTCGAGGACGGCGAACAGTGATTTCTCCTTTCCTATACATACGCATACATACATACATGCATACATGCATACATACATCTCTAATTGATATTGGAGATACCTACTGAAGCTTTGATGGATCGTTCTTTTTATTAATTTTGTATGAATTTCTAGTAATGCTTTGTTTTTTTTTTTCCTTTTGTGTGTGTGTTCTATGAGTATATATGACTATAATGTGTGATTTGTTTTTTTTTTTTTTTTTTTTTTAAAGTTCATTACTTGCGCTGAACTAAGTACATTTATTTACGAAGACAATAATTTTCATTAAATTGTTATGTGGGGAATTTACAAGGAGAAAACTTGGCTGCTGAATTGGAATCAAGGAACTGTTTTTTGTAGCTCTACATGTTTGAGCTTATTTGTTTGGTATTCATACTTTTGTATGAGGTAGATAATTGCTTAGAAGTTGAGGTTTTGGTCAATGCAGATGGAGAACCTGATTGATCAGGGTTGAGAAAAGAGATAATGAGTGGGCAGGACAGGTGTTCTTTAGGGAAGGTTTTTGGAAGTTCAGGGTATTGCATCTTGAATGGATTTCTATAGCATACAACTACTAACCTTTGATGGAGAATACTAAATCTGGTGCAGGACTGTGTGGCATGCCATTATAAGAAGTGTTATGAATTTCAGATAATCGATTTCAACTTTAGAGTTTGTCCTATAGGTTATGCTGCTCATTTTTATGCTTCCTTAATATCAAGGTTGTGATATCATCATGAGGCATTGATATTGACTCAAATTGCATTGAGTTATATTTGCCCTTTTGACATGTTCTTATGTTAGTATTTAATGTAGAATTTCAGCAGTTTCACTTCATTTAGTTATCATGTCACAATGCTGACATTCTGTTTCAATGTAATAGTACCATCACTTCCATACCATGTCAGTTTCTCATTTTCCTTAAATGATTGGTTTTAATCATCTGATAACTCTTGAATCCTTTGAAAATAATGCCCTGATTTGGAATAAATTTTCCTCTGGTTTCAGCCCATTGTTTGTCACATGGAAGAAAGTGGTGAATGGAGGGGAGCCTCGTTTGCGAGGATGTATTGGCACTCTTGACGCTCGTCGCCTGACTACCGGCTTTAGGGACTATGCTCTGACCAGGTATTAATGGAAAAACATGTGCTTTTGATCTTAATTTTCTTCTTTGCTCTCCCTTTGCCACCTTAGTTGCCATAAAATTTTGTCAAATATTCACAGGACAGAATTGATTGATGCTAAATTATAATGCTATCTGCCATAAAGCAAGTTAGAGTTCTTCTTTATGGTTATTGCATAGAACAGTATGAAGAAAAAATGAAGTTGGTTTTTTAATCAACTCAAATCCTACATACCCATTCCTGTTGCTGTAATAGTCTAATAGAGCGTTGGAATTGACAACATTAGTGGGATGAAGCTAGTAGCTAGTTTCTGCTAGTATCTGAAATGAAATTTAGAAAGAAATTGCATAAACGCTGGCCTTCTTCTCTTAGCTTGCAAAAATTAGAGAAGCCAAGTGTTTTACTGATTGATTTCTATATGTTTCTCCCTTGTGAAAGAGAAAGATCTTTACTGCTTTTTGCAGTTCTACTTTTAATCATTGATCAACATAGATTTCTGGTGACTTCAGTTTTAACTTTTCCTCTTCTAAGTAATGGGAACAAATCTTATGTTTATTCTTTTCTGTTGCATTAATTTCAACCCTTTCCAATTCACTCCATTTCTCATAATATGGCTTGGTGAACTGGTATTATTTATTTATTTATTTATTTAATTCCATATCATACCCCTAAATCACTGGTTCATCTTCCATTCTTTCTTTTTTCCCCTCTCTTTTTACTTGTTGTACTTGCAGTGCTTTGAAGGATCGGAGATTCCCCCCCATACAAGCTAAAGAACTGCCTTCCTTAGAATGTACAGTTTCAGTTCTGACTGATTATGAAACAGCTAACAACTATCTTGACTGGGAGGTATGTACTTCTTTTAGTTCATTCATCATTTGGGTTCAATATATGCATATCCCAGTGAAAAGATTGATCAGATGATCTGGATTATTGGAAGATTTAGATTCGTTATGGCCTTAGGTTTGGTTCACAATTATCATTTTGCTCTTCAACATGGTTTTTTTTTCTTTTTTGGCCAATGCTCTTCTACATGGTTGAATAATTGATAATTGATGTAGAACTTCTTGATGTTTTGACACTTGTAACATTGTTATAGTAAAAAATATATCTGTTGGGACATGTGGTCAAATTTTCCTTCATTTCCAATGAAGTATGGACTATTTCCTTTTACCTTTTCGACTTTATGATTTTAGTCGGTTTCATTTTGTAGATTGGGAAGCATGGCATAAGTATTGCGTTTACTGATCCTGGCTGTAATATGAGGCTAAGAGCCACATATTTACCTGAGGTTGCTGCTCATGAAGGTAGATTTTATTGCCTGTTAGAACACTATATATACTGGCATTCCATTTTATTTGTATCTTCATCTTATTATTATTTTTTGTGGTGACGTGCTCTAGTGAAAAATTGAAGGAACGGAATGTTTGGATGGTTGTTCAGTCATCCACGTAGATTCAGTCCATTTAGTAAATCTTTCTAATAGTTACTGGCTAGGTTGCTAATTCTTTTGTAATGAACCTGCTTTGGCAATGCTCTGAAACTTCCCAATCAAAACAGTTGGAAATATTAGAATCAAGGGAGGAAAGAACCTACTCCTTTCCTGCCACAGATTACTGCATAAGGGTAGAAGTTAAGTCACATCAATGATTGTCTCTTTCAGAATCTTCCTAATATACTTCTTCTATGATTTTGAGATTCCACTCTATTGTCATAGGGCTTGAGGTTAGTCTATCAGAATACAGTCTATTGGCATCTGTCTAAAGGTTTTGCTCATTTGATAGTTTTCTTTAAAGGTTGATATGCAGTTATTTGTCCCGTAAACTAGTACATAACATTGCTGATCTCTTCTCGTGTGGTTGTTTTCTCACTTTCTGTTAGGTTGGACCAAAGTGGAGGCTATTGAGTCACTGATGCGTAAAGCAGGGTATGATGGCGCTATCACTGAGGCTCTAAGGGAGAGTGTAAATCTGACCCGTTACCAGAGCACAATATTTACCATGCCTTACAGCGACTACATTTCTTACATCAAAGCAACAAGGGGTGTGGCTCCTTCATTTGCTGGTGCTAAGCTCAACCATTGATTCTTTCAAACCAGCTATTTCGGCAAAAGCTGCTGGTTTGGCTACATGAAAGACTATTTAAACAAAACAAAATGGGATGAAATTGATTTGATTGTGTTCCTACCCATGTTGATTTGTCAATTTAATGACCTGTCTATTTAATTCTTCAAATTCATTTGATTTTGAAGAAAGAAACCAAAAACAAACATGCATGATGTGAATTCAGTTGTCTGTGTTGTGTCTACTTTTACCCAGAATGGGATGAGTTCTCTGGGAAAGCTGTATGTCCAAGACTCTCACCCACCGTGACTTGGAGGTTCATTCCAGGGTGTGTTTATTTACATCTTCCAATAAATTATTCATATCTTTTACCTAGTTTCCATCGTTTTAAATTGAGCACTAACTAATAATAGGAGGAATACTTGCAATTTTGTTTCGGTTTTTCTATCTGAAGAACTGTTGATGATCTTTTCTATTTATTTTGTTTGGCTAATACCATGGACAATTTAAGTTTTTATCAAAATTTTAGTGATAAAAAGGAAAATTTAAGTTAACAATAGAGTTGGGATCATGTTCGGTACAGCAATTAGAGAAATATTTGTAGACAACGTATTTTTTTATCTATTTATGTAGAGGTAGTATTTTCTAACTATCCACTTAGATAAAATTAAAATTTGGATTTACATTTCTACATTGCAGTGTAAGTTAAACGCAATA